CGGCGGCGGGGAAGGTGCGCGCCCTGCCCGCTGCGCTCTGGCCGGCCGGAGGTGGGGCTCCGCGCCGCCGCCTCCCGCGCCCTCCTTCCCTCCCTCCGTCCCTCCCCGCCGGCAGCCGGAGCGCCACGTTTGTTTGCTTCCTTGCCGGCCGCCCCCGCGGAGGGAGCTGCCCTCGGGCCCCCTCCGCGGGGAGAGGGAGGGAGGGTCTCCCCGGCAGGATCCGGGTTGGAGCTGCCTTGTTTTGCGCGCCTCTCCAGCGCCAGCTCCGCTTCCCCTCTCCAGCCCGAGCGGTTGCATTCACAGGACACGCGAAGCCGGGCAGGGAAGGGCACGGAAGGGACAAGTCGCCCTTCGTGGAACTCGCGTAGCAAAGCTGGCCTATCGACCTCCCCCGAGGCCGAACACACACACACACACATACACACACACACACCGCGGACGCCCCAGCAAACTGGCACAAAACCACGCGCGCGCTTTTGAATTGCTCAGGAGCCTCGCGCCAGATGTTCCCACAAGCTTGCCAAATTGGTCCAGATGTTCCGGACACCGAATGGGTAGGTTTCTGTTAGCCTAAAAGCCATCTCGGTAAAAACTGGAAGGGTGTGTGTGTGACCTGAATGTAAGGCGCCCTCCTGGCTTCAGGGACGTTTTTTCCACGCACCCCCTTTATAAAAAACAAAAAACGAAAAGGCCATTGTCACCATCTATTGTGTAGTTTTCAATGTAGAAATGGCGGGGTGGGGTGGGGAATGCAAGTATCAAATGCAAGTGATGGCATTTTGGAATATAGGACTTTTCTAAGCAATTTCCGGGCATCAAGGATGGATCTATATACAGTAGGTGGTCCTTTATTAGGCCCAAGGCACGTTGAGATGAGTTCATGGACAGGTACTGAAGTATGTTAAACGTTATGACTGAATGCATCCCTTTCATCAATAGCCTTTCATACAAGAGACTGAAAAATAAAGACTTTTTAGCGTTTTTCCTTTTATTTGGACATTTCTTCTAAGATACAGCATTTACGAAGCATACATTTATTAATTAATTATGTCAGACGCCATGACAATTCCAAGCTTTTAAGTCATTCAGATTAACATTTTGGTTTCTATCTACGCCTAGTGGGTAAAAGACCTCAAACCCTGTTGTTTTTGCTTCAAAAGGAATTGCAAGTTTAAAAGTACAGTGATCAAGCCATTTTTTTAAAAAACAAAACAAAACAAAACAAAAAAACCAGTTGAAATGTGTCCAGTTTTGAAAGTCTCAAAAGCAAAAAAAGATACAATGGTTTGAGATAGCAAATTAACTGAAGGAGTGTTTGCTTTGAGAAAAAATTATTATTGGGATCAAGAATAATAACTCTGTATCCACGTGTAGACCTGAAATTGTTTTATTTTGCTAAAGTCTGCTGTGGGTGAGACTGGATGTCCTTGGACAATCTGCCCCCCAAAAGCAGACATATTTGTACCAGCAGGAAAGACCTATTATGAATAGTGCAAATTTATTGTGACTTGATGTCTGATGCACAAAGCTGCGTACACGTGGAAACAGACAAATCAATGCCCCCAGCCCTCTTAGGATATTCTGGGGATGGGCACTGAAAACAAACAGATCCAGCACAAACAAGAAAGGAGCTGTATGATCAAAGCAAGCACGTTTTGAATACAGTGCATTTAACCCTTACCTGCAACTTTCTTAGGGGCTTTAAAAGGATGCCCAGGATTGCACAAATTGCACATTCCATAAAACAAAATTGTTCCAGACTAAGCAAGAAAAACATTCTTCCAATCGCGGGGCGCAAGATTATATTATAGGAGCAGAGAACATTAGAAGGAAAGCGAAAACTATCTGAAACCTACAGTAATGAGGTAATATTGGAGGAATATTTTGGGTCTATACGTTTCAAAAGCACGTCTTTCAGCACACTTGGGAAGGAGAGAAATTGTAGAATATCAGTTAAAATAAAAGAGATGGCAACACTTCCACATTAAAACAACATGGTCATATTTTAAAGGGGGGGGGAAATAAGCAAAACTCAAAATTGTGTTAGATGCTACAAATTCTAACTTGAAAACAGCTGCTTTTCTAGCATGTAACCGTAAAATATTAGACCCATAAAAAGTGCACGTAAAATACTGATACGTAAAGCATTGGATGAATTACAGAGCACAGTTAAACTTGGAACTCCTTTAAAACATAGAAAGCAGCATTCAGTTTTAATGTGAGAGAAAGATACATTAATCAGATTACTTAGGAGGAGGATAATGCCGACAGGCATCCATCACCCTTATTAGTAAACAAGATACAATAAGGCTTTTATACAAACAAAATGAAAAATTAAAAACCACATATCTAAACAATAGCATCGTAATCGCTTCTGGAATTGTCAAATTCTTGGGAAAAAAATTACTTAGTTGAAATGAAAAGGCAGGATTCCAGTATTTCTAGAGACTCAGTAAAAAGATATATTGGCTGGGGGGGGAAATAATTGGGCTGCTAGATTTTAAAAGTAATGCTGTCTCCTTATATAATTTCTCTTACAGCCTTTTCATTATGCAGCGGGGGGGGGTTGTCCAACTTTTAAGGCCTATGGACTTCAACTCCCAGAATTCCCTAGCCAGCATGGCTAGGGAATTCTGGGAGTTGAAGTTCCGAAGTCTTAAAACTGCCAAGGGTGGACATACCTGTTATACAGGATGCTAAGAATCCAGTAAGTGTTGAAAAGTTAGTGTACTTTGCCATCCAAGATTCTGAACATGAACTCTCACAATCCACAACCAGTGTGGCAAATTTCACTGGGAAGATGTAAAACTTGGGGGGAAGGGGGGAAGAGATAACACATACCCCCATCCAACCGCCAATGCCACATAGTGTCACGAGTGTCACAAGCAGTGTCTCTGAAACATTTTTTTGAGTTTCACTCAGGTGCTCCATTGTTGCCCTAAAGATGACTGATTAAAACTCTATTCTTCTATATTTTCACCTTCTCTAAGAAAGAGTGTTTTGGACACCTATTGTTTGACTGCACAGCACACACCCACACACACAGAGAAACTGACCACACAAAGGGGAAATTGATTAATTTACACCTGTGGCTGGGAGATGATGAGAATAAAGTTCAGATAATTTAGGAAGCCATTGGGGATGGAAATGGCCACTCTTCGGACCTCAACTTTCAGCCCCTTTGTAGTAACAAACTCCAACTGGCTAGAGCCACAGAGGAAGTTGACCTTTTAATAGAGCATTTTAAAGTAACTCTAGGAGGAACACATCCTCTTAGTTTTTGTTATACGTAGTGCCAGCTATAAAAGAAAATGCACATTTTCAAGTAAAGACCTATTAATGTATCATAAATAAAGAACATGTATTAAAGGCAATACTTGAGTACCTGAATATATATATATATTTTTTTAAAAAATCAATTAAAGAGCATATGCTTCCCTTCCCACAAGAAAACAAAACAAAAAGAATGGGGAGGGGGTGTCTTTTATTTACCTCAACAGTGTCCCTGTCAGTCACATCTCTTTTGCATGTGAAAACCTATTTAAAGCTGTTTCAAGTGACAGCATCTTTTAGGTGCACAGAGAAATTAAATCCAGTACTAGACCTTTTTAATAATGTGCATTTACAGCAGAGAGATGTTTGAAAGTAAACACAACTCAGTTGTTAGGATACATTAAAATATTGCACACGGCAGTTTCAGGATATGTAACATCTTCTTTTGTATATCTGATCATCACTGACCGTACCTGGTTTATTTTATTTTATTTTATTTTTTTAAAAAGGGGGCCCGGAGAACTTGAAGTGAGGGTCCACAAATATTTCAAAATGTCAGTTTCACACTGGGGGAAATCATGACAAGTATTCTGTCTGCAGCCTGAGAGACTTTGGCAAAATCTTTTACATAGATTATATTCATAATGTGTCTAAATGAAATGTTCCCATGGAAACAGAAAATGAATATTTCCTTTTTTTTTTAATAAAGTGGGTCCAAATCAGGGATAGCATTAATTTTTTTTTTAAAAATGAATATGTAGCAAGCTTTTAAGAAAATCATAAGGTTGGGAGCGGTACTAATAGTAGAGGAACAGCTTCTTTTCCAGATTAAATGTTTGAGATGCATTTTAGATGAACGCTTTCCCTATTAAAAAAAACTCCTTCCCAACCTACAAAATAAATATTACACATTCTCATTACACATCCAGCAAATAAAAGACAAAAAAATGAAAAGCAACATACACCAAAACAAATAAATAAATATAAAATATAATGTCGCTGGGTTTTTCTTTGACTTTAGAAAACAGGTTCCAGTTTCTTTAGATTGTGCTTAGTTATCGTTTCCTGTTACTACTTATATGTTTCTTGACACTGGCATAAATCTTATTAAAAGACCGGACTATTAAAGTTGCAGTGATCTTACAAACTTGCATTTCTGCTCCTTAAAAATTATTGTACATTTAAAAGAACACCATAGACCGCGACACTTCTGATATGGTTTGAAACAGTACAAATAAGCAGCTCTATTGTACCAGACTGTAAACCAAAACACTTTTCATTAGTTCATTATTTATGTCACATTGACATAAATAGGAAGGCAATCAATTAATTTGATCCATTATCTCTCAGGTTGAAACCTATCAAAAAAAAAACTTATTTATTAACCTTGTCCTAATATGAATGGTGCTTTCTAAGAGTATGACTATTTCTATTTATTTCATGGATTTTATGGTTTGTACAGGCAAAATGCCTGATCAATGATACTGTATGTTGCCTGTCTCTATTAAATTTTCAGATCTTTGAAATATATATGTATATATACGTATATATGAGTCTGTGTATATATATACTGCTCAAAAAAATAAAGGGAACGCAAACCCCTTCAGTTCCATGTTAAAATGTTCCCTTTATTTTTTTGAGCAGTATAATATATATATACACATACACAGAAGCTACCCCTAAATATTTCCATCCTTTTCTGAAAATCGCACTTGGTTTTAGCTCCTCGCTGGTCCCTGTTAACTGGCAAATCATTTGTGACTTAAGAATGCTGAAAATATCTTACAAGCAGCTTTAACATATTCTCAGCTTTCACTTCCTGATCAACGTGAGCATCAGAAACACATTATGGATTGGAGGTCACACACTCACACCTTTGCACTGGAATGACACCTTTCCACGCAGTGGAGACACAGAAACAATCTGCAATCGGTGACCGTTTTCTACAAAAAAAAAAAAGGTGTACGTGTGAAATACGGAATAAAGGACGGGATTCTCAGAGCCGCTAAAACTGAGAACTGAGTCCTCTTCACACAATCGGCTCTTTGCCACCAGATGCACATTATAATGTTGACCTTAGCGTGGAAAGGAAAAAGAGAGCAACCGCGATTTATCGGTCACAGATTGTTTTTGGTTTACAATGCAAATATAAGACAGAGCTTGCAAGCAACCCGGGGGGGGGGGGAGAGAAACATTAAAGGGTGCACTGATCTTTTCCTTAACCTGAAAGCTTTAGGTAGGCCTCGGCACGGGAGGAGTGAATTTATACAAACGTGCGTGGTTTCTACCCTTTAAGGTTTTAGGTAGGCCTCTGCACGGGATGAGTGTGAATTTTGTACAAATGTGGATGGTTTCTATCGGCTTCCAGTTGTGAAACAATTATGACGCATTCCAGTTTTCTGCAATGCGATTCCCTTCCAGTCTTTTTCCTCTATTCCTCTCCATGCCTCAATGGCTTTAGACTCAATTTGTTTTCACCGCTCAGAGACGATAAATAGAAACTGATGGTCAACAGCTTAACTCTGTTCTTGGTTCAGACCCGAGAGATGAATCCTAGACCCAAACTTGCGGGAATCTGGATCGTTTCTAGTGCGAGAGAGGACGGGTTGAATGGGAAAGTAACAGGGAAAATATGCTTAGCATCCATTAAGAGTTGGGGAGTATCCTTCCTGTCTCGCATACGCAGCTGCAAAGAGAAGAACAGATCGCATTAGTGTCTTATTTAAATACAGGCAGTCCTCAACTTAACTACCGTTCCCTTAGTGACCATTTGGAGTTACAACAGCACTGAGAAAAAAATGAATTATGACCTTTTTTTACACTTAACGGCCGTTGCAACATCCTCGTGGTCATGTGATCAAAATTCAGCTGCTTGGCCACGGACTCACATTTATGGCGGTCGCAGTGTCCCGGGCGTCATGTGATCACCCTTTGAGACCTTCTGACAGGCAAAGTCAAGGGGGGGGAAGCCCGATTCGCTTAGCAACTGCGTTACTAATTTAAAGAACGGCAGTGATCCGCTTAACGACAGAGCCAAGAAAGGTCGTAAAATTGGGGCTAAATTCATTGAACAAATGTCTCACTTAACAACAAAAAGGTTGGGCTCAATTATGGTCCTAAGTCAAGGACTACCTGTACACAGTTCGACATTCTATCCAAGACTGTTTGGATTATATACATTTTTTAAAAAATAATAATAATAACCCTATTCTTATTTTATTTTTCCAAAAAAACAAATGGCAAGATGTTGTTTAAAAGCAAATTTGCACTGAATTTACCCTGCATGTAGATATTAAATATTCCTTTGAGACACAAGCTTATGGAAAGCAATGTTTTCGTGAATTGCCGCTGGTTGTTATTACCTGTATTGTCCGGATAAAAGACACAGACACTCTTTCTTCAAACTCATTAACGGGAGTATATAGGTTCAACACTTTCACAATCTAAAAGAGAGAGAGAAAAAAGATAATGCTAGCAGATTCTTGCTATTTAAGATAAGATAAAACCTTTATTGTCATTTTTTTTTACTGTGGGCACAACGGCACACATCAAAAATGAAATTTAGATGCCCGCTCTCAAAGTGAAACACATACATGACACACACCTAAACACACTATGAACATATGTATAGACCCACCCCCCTACATATACATAAATAAATGTTTAAATACTGTCCATCTTGAATATATAACGGAAGGAGGAAGCTTGAGAGTTCACAAGGTTAATGCTGTATGGAATGAAACTGTGGCTGAATCTGGATGTTCTGCTTCGGATACCACGAAGCCCCCTCCTCCCAGAAGGGAACAAGGAAAACAGGTCGTGAAGAGGATGTGTAGTGTCCCAGATAATCTTATAGACCCTGCTCAAGCCCTAACCAATGTTTTAAATCTAAGTCATGAGGAGATGTTAAACCATGATGTGACTGCAATAGGATCGCTCCTAACTGACACAAAATCTGCATTCAGCCTGAATTCTTAAATCACTGCGGGATTTTTTTTTAAAAAAAAACAATCATCGTTGCTCACTTCTTCAAAGCAGTCCATCCTGTTTCAGTGGATAGCAACATTGGAATGCAAGTGGTCAAAATTATGCTAAACAGACATCACGCTCCGCTCCAAAGGATTAAAAAGAAATCCTTCTGCTCCCACAGAGTGGGCCTCCTCAGGGTGCCGTCGGCCAAGCAATGTAGGCTGGCGACCCCCAGGGGGAGGGCCTACTCTGTGGGTGCCCCCACCCTCTGGAATGAACTACCCCCCGAGATCCGGATGATTCCGGATCTCCTTACTTTCCGCCGCGCCCTCAAGACATGGCTTTTTCAGCAAGCGGGCCTGACCTAGGGAGGATTTTAGGCANAAAAGTATTTAATTCGAAACACAGCTTGTAATATTTGGTTTTAATTCGGCTTTTATCGGGGTTTATTTTCTGTATTTTTGTATTTTGTAATTTTTTGTATTTTGTGTTTACTATTTGTTTTTAATATGCTGTGAACCGCCCTGAGTCCTATGGGAGAAGGGCGGTATACAAATTAAAATAATAAATAAATAAAATAAAAGAACAAAGAGTGTCTTTCTGTTCTTCTCCCCGAAATCAATCCTGAAAACAAAACTCAGACCTTTGTTTTTTTTTTAATGTCTCTCTTGAATTGTCATCTACGTTTGGCAGACTCCTTTTCTATCGTGGCATTTTTATGTGGCTCACCCTGCTGATCTCAACGGGCAGGGAAGCCGAATTCCACCGGAAGAGCAAAATGGCAAAAGGCAGATTGTGCGGGCAACTCAGCCAGGGTGGTTGGAAGGGACCTTGGAGATCTTCTACTCCAACCCCCCCCCCCATCCAAGCAGAAGACCCTATACCAGGGGTAGGCAACCTTGGCTCTTTTATGACTCGTGGACTTCAACTCCCAGAATTCCTGAGCCAGCCATGCTGAGGAAAAATGGAGAGGTTTCCATGCTGAGCCAGGATGGCTCAGGAATTCTGGGAGTTGAAGTCCACGAGTCACAAAAGAGCCAAGGTTGCCTACCCCTGCCCTATACCATTTCGGACAAATGGCTGTCCAGTCTCTTCTTAAAAACTTCCAGTGTTGGAGCAGTCACCACTTCTGGAGGCAGGTTGTTCCACTGGTTAATTGTTCTAACTGTCAGGAAGTTTCTCCTTAGTTCTAGGTTGCTTCTCCCCTTGATTAGTTTCTCTCCGTTGCTTCTTGCCCTGCCTTCAGGGGCTTTAGAGAATAGCTTGACTCCCTCTTCTTTGGGGCAGCCCCTGAGATATTGGAAGTCTGCTATCGTGTCACCCCTCGTCCTTCTCTTCATTAAACTAGACATACCCAATTCCATCAATCGTTCCTCATATGTTTTAGCCTCTGGTCCCCTAATCATCTTTGTTGCTCTTTTCCAGAAAGAGGGTTACCTGGGCGGTAGTCAACGCGTGGCACATGGAGCAGATGGCCCCCGCGTCCTCATCGGTCTTCTTTTTCACCTGCAGCAGCTGAGCGGCCTGGATCAACGGCTCCAGGGTCTCCTTGGCGCCGCTGGTCATGAGGTTTTTGTCACGAAGCCATTCTTCCAGCTGGCTTACATTGTACCTGCGGGTGGGATGTGTTTTGAAAAAAATAAATCAAAACCTTTAGCCACTTTTTTCAGTCTGTCTGTACCAGTGGAAATGGTTTTCTTTAAGGCATTCTTGCTCAGTAGCCCTTCAAGAGGTATTCTGTTAATTATTAACAAAAATGTTTGTTAACGAGGGAAACAGCAGCTCCTTGTTGTGGGCAAGAATGCTCAGGCTATCTTGAGAAGACTAAACACGGAATGAAAACCCCCTAATTTCTACTCTTTCTGGTACTTAGTGTGAAGTTTGCTAGAAGGAAGGTTTTTTTTCCCATCGATTTGTCTTTTTTTATAGTTAATGGGGGAAACTGGGTTTTGATTCAGAACAACAGAAAAACATACTAGTCTGCTCAGGAATTCTGACTTTTTAAAATAGGCTAGTCAATCAGACCATTTGTGGCCTTTCTCTGCCATACCTGTCCTTTGTTTTATGGTTCCCCCCCCCCCATTTCTAACAATCTGTAAGTCACCAAGAACAGCCAAGAGTCAGGCGGCATTTAAATGTAAACGGTTGTCGTCATTATTCACATATGAAAAGGAAGTTATTTGGCAGGGTATCCCATTTAGAGCGTAACATTAGACTTAAAACTACAGGTAGCTTTTGTTTAACAACTGCCCTGTTTAGTGACTGTTCATCTGGGGGACGCTTTCGGAAATATTCATTTGTGCATCGTTCATTTATTGTGTATAGAAATATAGGGGCCAACCTTCACAGCTACAGATCTGCCTAGGTCAGTGATGGCGAACCTTTTAGAGACTGAGTGCCCAAAAACCACCCAGCCCCCTGGCCCACCCCCACTCTGCCCCCCACTCCGCCCACCCACAAGGCCACTCACCACAGATCGCCTAGGCAGCCTTGCAGCGCCATGGCGGCCACGCCCTCTGCCCTTACCCCGCAGCATCATCTGCACGTGATGGGGCGCGAGGGTGGAGTCTTGCCCCTGCTTCCCGGCTGCCATGTGCTTGGCTGCGCTGCTGTGTGGGCTGTGCCTGGGGGAGCCTCTCCTCCGGGAAGGCTGTTGGTGAGGAGGGGGTTGTGGGGAGGCAGGGCTGGGGCAACGGCATGCGTGCCCACAGAGCGGGCTCCGGGTGCCACCTGTGGCACGCGTGCCATAGGATCGCCACCACTGGCCTAGGTACTCCAGCCCAGGAAGATCTTCATGTTAAGAACACAAGACAATCAGCTGACTCAAAATAATTCCCTGCTCAGCCAAGCAGTGTGTCTTAAAAAAGGACTTAAAGCAGTGGTTCTCAACCTTTTTAATGCCGCGACCCCAACCGGTCGTAAGTCGAGGACTAAACCGGTCGTAAGTCGAGGACTAAACCGGTCGTAAGTCGAGGACTTTCCCTGCCCGGGAGTGCCGCGCATGCGTGGTTCCGCCCCCTGCGCTGGCCGACGCTTAGCTGGCAAGCGGCAGAGACGGAGCAGGCCGACCACCAGCTGGCCCAGCCGAAGGGAGGTAAGGCACCCGCCGGAAAAGGGGAAAAAATGGCAGACAAAAAAAATGGCAGACAAAAAAAATGGCAGACAGCCTTGCTTGGTGACCCCCGTGAAATGGTCGATCGACCCCAAATGGGGTCCCGACCCACAGGTTGAGAACCACTGACTTAAAGGACTTAAAATACTGAAAGAGATCTCCCCACCTAATCTGCATTCCTTTGCTCCAGGAGCACATGTCTTTTCTCAGGAGAAGGTTATTGAGGGTCACGGCCCCAATGATGTAGAACATCTGCTTGACCACCTGCTTGATCAGCTCAGGATCCATGCCGTGCTGGCACATGATGGAGTGGAAGGTGTTCAGCTGACGCATGATGGAGTCCAAGGTGTAGGTCCCTTCGTCGGCAATGCTAGAGGTTCTCTTGCGTAGGCCGGTGGGCTTCACCCCGGACACTCCTTGGATGGTTTCATGCTCCAGCATTCCTGAAACTGAGGAAAGAGGTCATTAATTCAGTTGAGGAAGACTCTTTCTGAAAACAAAACCAAACCAAACCAAAAGAAGCAGGAATAAACGGCTATGCTGACTCAGGAATTCTGGGAGTTGAGGTCCATGAGTCATAAAAGAGCCGAGGTTGCCTACCCCTGCAAAAGGGGATCACACGACCCCGGGACACTGCAACCATCATAAATGTGAGTCAGTTTCCGAGTGTCTGAATGTGAATCACATGACTATGGAGATGCTGCAGTGGTCGTCAGTGTGCAAAGGATCACAAGTCACTTTTTTCAGTGCCGTTGTAACTTCCAACGGTCATTAAATGAACTGTCGTAAGTCAAGGGCTGCCTGTAGTAGCTATAGACAGCCACAGTTGAATTTGCTTAATAACCCTAAGCACGTGGCAAAGTAACCTCTGAACTCGGCTTACACAAAACGAAATTCTTCCGTTGCACAGTAATATCAACGGACATTATCGGAGGAAAATCCAAATGATGAAAATGACTTTCTTAATGAGAAAAAACAAAACCACACACTGGTTTCTCTCTTCTGTCATTTAGTTTCGCCTTACCAATCATCGGTTGCAAAATATTCTCCAGAACCCGAACCAGCTGCTGGTAAATCTGGATGGCCAGGTCACTTAGCACTTGTCTGTACTCAGCAAGGTCGAAATTAGTCAGGCAATGTTCGTTCTGACGAGATGTGTTATGCTTCATAAACCCCTGCAGGTACGGGGGGGAAAATACAGCCAAGTTAGTATTAATGTATTTTATGTTGTCGTATTCAAACAGGTGAGGAGGATAGTAACTTTTTTAAAACATCCTTTTGATGAAGAACAGTATGGCTAACTTCCTTTAAGCCTGATAGCGGAATGAGGACATGACCACTGAAGTAAAGACAAGGATAGAGAAAGCCCGAACAGCATTCTTCAAAATGAAAAAGGTCTTCTGCAGTCACGACATAAGCCTAAGACTGAAAATCAGGCTTGTCAGAGGCTATATTTTCTCTATCCTGCTCTATGGAGCAGAGAGTTGGTCTCTGACAGAAGGCCACCTGAAGAGACTGGAAGCATTTGAAATGTGGATTTACAGGCGGCTGTTACGTATAAGCTGGGTTGACAAGATCAGAAATGAGGAGGTGATAAGCCGCCTGGGAAAGCCAAGGGAAATCATCAAAACAATTAAAAAACAAAAATTAGAATATTTCGGACATGTGATGCGACACCCAGAAAAATACGGCATACTCCATTTACTCCTCCAGGGAAAGATTGAAGGCAAACGAGGTCCAGGCAGAAGAAGAACATTGTGGCTTCAAAATCTAAGGGACTGGTTTGGACAAAACTCAGCAGCACTTTTTCGTGCGGCTGCTGATAAAAACAGGATCGCCAATATGATCGCCAAGGTCCGATAACGGATATGGCACAAGAAGCGGAATGAAGCCTCACTCCCACTTCAAATGTTCAAAGCGCTTTCACCAACAGAAATAAACCAAAATGGGAAACTTACTTCTTCGCCGCTGTATTGCTTCAAACAGTGCAAAAATCGGCACGTATTGGACAGCCAGAAGGAGACTGTTTCAAAGTCATCGCCTCTTTTCTAAAAGCAAAAATACACGAACAGTAATGATGAAAAGGCAATGTGCATTAAAAGAGGATTAAAATGCAAGGTTATCGATAACGGAATATTACTTTCGCTAAATTAAAAGGTGCAGCACTTCCACATTGCATTAGATCCTGCACAGATTTCTGCGTAACTCTCTTTGACTGTCTGTGGAGATTCTCAGTCATCCAGGTCATGGTTGTCCCAAAAGTGATGTTGTGTTTTTCCCCCCCAAAAGTTAACTGGATTTTTGTTTTTCCTTGAAGACATTTCACTTCTCATCCAAGAAATTTCAGTCAGAACTGAAGACGCTTCTTGGATGAGAAGCGAAATGTCTTTAAGAAAAAACAGACGTCCACTTGTCTTTTTAAAAACCACCTCTGGGACTCTCTTTGAATCAATTTCTGCATCGTGGAATCTGTGCCACTGATGGAGATGGTGCTAGTTGTCTTTTATTATTCCAACAGAAAAAATACTTTAATACATGTTTTCATAACAGAGTGGTGGTGTAACCATTTGATTTCGAGACGAGCTCATCAGCTGTTAATTTTTTTTAATAAACTCCGGACTGACATTTCAACGGAACCCTGTAAACTGACCTTCAAAATTTTTTTGATGCCGTTAATCGTAGACGTCAGCAAGGACCTCACTTTCTGATCATCGTTCAGGTAGTCGGCGTGGCGGACGCACATGAACAAAATGTAAGCTGGCAGCCCTGGGATGAGATTCACTGCCACTCCCCGAGGCTTCAGTTCTGAGGGAGAAGTCACAAAGAGGAACACAGGAATTCACAGACCTCTGTGTTTAAAGGTAAAGGCTTCCCCTGCCCGACTCTAGGGGGCGCTGCTCATCTCCGTTTCTTAGCCAAGGGAGCCAGAGTTGTCCAAAGACATTTCCGGGGTCATGTGGCCAGCCAAAGGTGCACGGAACACTGTTACCTTCCCACCGAAGCGGCACCTATTTATCTATCTGTGTTTCGAATTGCTAAATGGGCAGGAGCTGGGGCGAGTGACGGGAGCTCATCCCATCAAGCGGCACCCGGGTCTCAAACCTGGTCTGTCAGCTTTCAAGCTGACAAGCTCTGAGCCATTGTGCCCCCTGTACTTAACATGCCGTAATAAAACTGCAGAGAGTCAGAAGTGGTTTAAGGCAGAGGCCCACAACCTTTGGGGCACCAGGGACCGGTTATGTGGAGAGAGGTTCTTCCGCGGACCGGACCGGATGTGGTTTTGTGTGCTGCCTGCATCCCGCCGATAGGGCTTTGCTTGTTTGTGTGGCCTGGTTGCTGGCAGGCTGCGGCCCGGTACTGGTCCATGGACCGGGGGTTGGGGACCCCTGGTTTAAGGCAACTAGGAGGATACCAGTTCTTGTCCTGCCTTAGGCATGAAGCCAACCGCGGCACTCAGCCAGTGCCACTTAGCCCTAGGAGGGAGACAATGGCAAGCCACTTCTGAAAATGCTGCCAAAAACTGGTCCAGCCAGTTTCAAGGAATCAAGACTCTCAAAGGCAAAATAATTTGTCAAAAGTCTTTTCAAGAACTAATACTTCTCTGTTCTTTTTAGATGGACGCTGTTGATTCTGTTCCAAGTTTGTCTTTCTTTGTGCACTCACCAATTTAAAAAAAAATTATCTGGGCTTATTATAGAACAGAAGAGCATAATGCTCTTGAAGGACAAAAGGGATCATGCTGTGCAGTAGACTAACAATTAAATTGTACATAATGGCAAAAGCAATGTATATTTGCAAAACCACCGCTCGGTGCATTTGATAAGCAGAAAGGCCTCTCACCTAAAATAAGATTCTTAACGAGTTTGGGTTCATCTTCTTTCTTGTATTCTAACATTCCTTGGAAGTCTTTTTCTTTCCTTGGAATATTCACAGGATGTATCGGCTCATCAATGATTTGTCCAGGTGAAATGTTCTCCATGTGGCCCACTAAATTAAGGAAAAGAAGAGAGAACGGGACGTGAACAAAAGCAAAATTTGATCCAGAAAGATGGCATTGAACTGTGGAGTTATCTTCCTGAGAGTTAAGAAATTAGCTATAATCCATTGGGAGAATTAGTTCCTGAGAAAGTACATGTTGGTTATGAACCACCTATAAAGCTCCACAACAGGGGTGTCCAACCTTGTCAACTTTTTAAAGTTCAACTTAAAAATGCTGGCTGGAGGATTCTGGGAGCTGAGGTCCGCAGGTCTTAAAGTTGCCAAGGTTGGGCATCCCTGGAAAGAAAGAAAGAAAGAAAGAAAGGAAGGAAGGAAGGAAGGAAGGAAGGAAGGAAGGAAGGAAGGAAGGAAGGAAGGAAGGAAGGAAGGAAGGAAGGAAGGAAAGAAAGAAAAAAAAAGAAAAAAGAGGAAGGAAGAAAGAAAAAGGAAGGAAAGAAAGAAAGAAAGAAAGAAAGAAAGAAAGAAAAAAGGAAGGAAGGAAGGAAGGAAGGAAGGAAGGAAGGAAGAAAGAAAGAAAGAAAGAAAGAAAGAAAGAAAGAAAGAAAGAAAGAAAGAAAGAACTTGGCTATGAATCTATAGAATCCTCTTAAAAAATATAAGAGTCATTTTTTCTTTTAAAAAAAAGGAAAAAGTAAAGGAATGCCCTCACAAAGCAAAGTTAAAATCAGAAATGTGCTCTGGAATGCTGATTGGCTAGAAACTTAACCTGGCCTGGTGTCAGTCTAGGACAATACATGTCAGACAGAGCAACTGGAAAAACCGCTAAGGTTAACGTCTAGAATCCGGAGTTTCTACATAGCTCTGACATTTTCCTGGTCTGCCCGCATACCTTGTTTAATTCAGGAACTCAGGAGCTGAAATGCCCTGGCACAGTCAACACACTGGCCTATATTTAGCGAGGGAAGGGGAAGGCAATGATTTGATCTCAGCCACTCCTCTAATGTAATCTTTACGAGAGCGCTTTTTCGCCCTCAGGTGTGTCGTTGTGAAAATGCCTTAACGGAGGGTGATAAACAATCAAGCAAACCAAGAGCAGACCTCGGGAACAGTTTCATTCAATTGCCTTATGTGGCAAAATACATCTGGCCTTCTACAAAGATTAATTAGTTGGGGGGAAAGCATCTTTTTCTCTTGCACCAATGTTTATTTTATTTATTTTTTATTTTTTTATTAAATTTGTTTGCTGCCCATCTCACGGCGAGATGGTTTGCTCCCCACTCCCTTCTAGCACTGAAGATGTTACCTAGTTGGGTCATGAAACGTCTGCAGGAAAGCAACCTAGCTCGCGCCAAGGATCCCACAGCCCTTCTCCTCCTGAGACCCCACGCCCTTCTAGCACTGAAGATGTTACCTAGTTGGGTCATGAAACGTCTGCAAGAAAACAACGCAGCTCAGAAAGCACTGAGGACTCTCACAATTTAACCCTTAGCTACAAATATTCTCTCCTATCGGAAATTCTGTCTTATGTAGCTGTTACAACAAGGGAAGGATCCAAAAGTCAATATATTACTGTTATAACCCCAAATATCGTGCTCTCATATTCCAAAGAACAGGAGTGCTGATTAAGGAACATTTGCTTTTGGCAAAAAAATATATATGCTATCACTTGGTAAATAAAGAAAAATACGCTGAATGTTTATCCTCCGTTAATCAGCTTGCATTTGGCTCCTAGGACAATCTGTGCCATTCTTGTGTCCATTATTGCAGAATACCACTGTATTTTTCATCAGCAACATCAGAAATTCTTGCCTCGGACACATAGTAAAATACGTCTGTATTTATATTTAAAAACAGAAACCGTTTTGGTCGCAGGCAAATACCGTACCTTCGAGCTCATCAATTTTCTTGGCGAAAACCTTCAGCTGCTTCTTCAGCTTCCGAACCGTCTTGTCCTGTTTCTCCAGCTGTTCCATTAAATCCTACCCAATAAAATTGAGGAAAGAACGGGTGAGAGGCCAAAAAAGGACCCAAAAGGCGACAGACAAAACTGAACCGGTGCTGTTAGTGCTATAAGACAGGGCTTTTCAACCTTTTCACCCATTGTACCACTTTTAGGATATGGCAACATCCGAGTATCACCAGCAAGGTGTCAAAAACTTGATGACCAAAAAAAAAAAAAGGAAAAAAGTAATAAAGTACAGGTAGTCCTCGACTTACAACAGTTCGCTTCGTGACTGTTCAAAGTTACAATGGCACTGAAAAAAGTGCCCCCCAAGGCACAGCCGAGCAAGACACCTGCCTGCCCGCCCGGCGGCGCTCTTCCTCCTGTCTGAGGTTTTCATTGTTGTGAGCATTTCTGTTGAGGATTGGCAGTGGGAGTGGGGTGGGGGGTGTTTGGTTTTTATACCTCCCATCTGCTGGGTGGTTGCAGCAGATTTTGATCACTTCATATGACCCTGGGACACTGTGACCGTCATAAATATGAATCAGTTGCCAAGCATCTGAATGTAAATCACAAGACCCTGGAGAGGCTGCAACATTCCAGCTGATCGGCGCTTCTGGACTCAGCAGAAGCGCCAGGATCAGCGCCGAGCTCCAGATGGAGCCTGGCACTGATCCTGGCGCTTCCGCTGAGCCCTGACAGCCCCGAAGAAGCACCTATCAGCTGGAAAGCGGCACTGATCCTGGCGCTTCCGCTGAGCCCTGACAGCCCTGCAGCTCCAGCCATCTCTCGCTCAGGCATGTGCGGTGCTGCCACCGGTTCAGCTCATTCCCCTCCCCTGCTACCACTTTTCTAGGATGGTCGCATACCACCTGCCAGGTGCCAATGTACCACAGGTGGTACCCGTACCACTGGTTGAAAAGCCCTGCTATAAGAGAAAAACTCAGAACAACTGAAAGCGATGCCGGAGACTTCCGGTGGCAGGCGTCTTCGTCGGTCGCAGCTGTTTGCTGCCTCCCGCCTGTTTCGCGTAAAAGCCGGTTTGACAGCTAGCATCAGCTGTCAAACGGCTTGATACCTTTCCCCTGGGCATAAGGGGATAGGTGAGCTGCCCGGGGTAGGAGTTGAGTTCCCGAGTCGTCCTATATGGACGATGTAGGTGA